CCTAGAAACAATAGTGTAGTTGATACAATAATAGTTTTGATAAGAGTTTTAAGTGAGAGTAAAATGAGAATTCTTACACTGACCTAATAGAATTATTTTCAGAGTCCCCATAAATCTCATTTTGCCATTTTGGAATTCCAGCCATAATTGAAAAGAGTTTTCAAGAAAGGATTTTGTTGTTCTTCAAAAGGGCTAAGTATTTATTTTTAAAAATAATTGGTTTTTTTTAAGATTTTTTATTGGGGTATTGGGGGAAGGGGAACAGACAAGTTGCTGTCCTTTTGTTCTTCAGTCTAGTTGTGGAGGACGTTGCTTCACTGTCCCGTGTTGGTATCATCATTGTGCTCTTCCCGGGTGAGGCAGATTGGTCACCTGCCTCTGGATGGCCGCTCACGGCGGCGCTTGGCAGCTCACACTTGCTGCCGGCCGCTCACACTGGCTGCTGGCCACACACGGTAGCTTATGGCAGTCCACTGCAGCTTCACTGTAGCCTACGCCATCACTGGGGACTCACGCAGCCCAGCTCCAGGTGGAGCTGCTGTTCACCATCTTAGCTGTAGAGGGCAGTGTCACTGGCCCATGTGGGATCTGAACCAGGGCCTTGCTGCTCAGAGCTGGAGTCCCAAGCCAACTCTTAACCAACGTGCCCTGTTTGCTATTATTTTGATAACATTGGTTAAAATATCTAATAAACATTTGATTCCTTCAAGGATAAGGCATCATGGTAAATTAAATGTGGACCTGGACCTTAGGTAACAGGAGATAAGCATAAACTGGCTAATGTAAAGTAGAGTGAAACTGCCAAATTGAAAAAACAAATAACATCAGACTGAGGTCACCAAGTGGCTCTTGACTAGGATTTTGATACAGAAATCCTGGAAGGACATAGTCTAGAAAGAGGAAGCAGTTTTTGTAAAGATACGGAGGCACAGAAGCCCTTGACCTGGGTGGGAAAGAACAAAAAGTTTGTGGCTAGGACACTGTAATGCTCGGAAAGAAATTGGATGAAATAAAGCTAAGAAAATAATTTGAGGTAAAATCATTTGAGTTCTTTATATTTTAGAGGAATGGTGAAAGTTAATTAAGGTCAACTTACTACTTAGAGCAAACTTGAAATTAAATTTTTAAGAAAGTATAAGTTGGGGTGATACTTGTTATTTAAAAATCTGAAAAACCCATTTCTCTTATAGGCTTGAGCATGTGGGTATGTAAGTGACCTCAGAGTTGTTCAGACAACTTCAGTTAATATTTGTTTGAAGAAAAGCTTCTATGGAGGAAAAAAATTAGGTAACTACTCTGAGTTTTGAAATGAGCCACTCATCTAGTTCATTTTTCATGAGAAAAATGGGATCTTGTAGGTAGCTAGTGGCAGAACTAAAAATAGAAATAGTGCTAGATTGCCAGTCAACATTTGTTCCAGTGAATTTAAAATGATCTTGTCTATTATGTTGATATAATGGTTGAACATTTATAAAATGTATCTAAAGGAAAAACTGCTAGGGAACCAATCCATTAAGAGACAGAAAAGGTACTCCATTTTGTTTTCCTGGATTAATAGAATTAAGCCATATTTGATTGTGCTTTCTCAAGAATTTTCATTTCATTTACTAACTTAGGCCCCATTTTCCCCTTAAAAACTGTAATAGCTCACCCTATGTTCATTTTATTGGAGGTTCTAGCCCAGGGCAATTAGGCAAGAAAAAGAAATAAAATGGGCAAAGGATTTGAAAAGACGTTTTTCCAGAGAATATATACAAATGGCCAATAAACATATGAAAAGTTGCTCAGTATTATCAGTCATTAGGAAAACACAAATTAGAAATAGAGTGTGATGCCAGTTTACATCTACTAGGGTGGCTGTAAAAAAAAAGATAATAGCAAAGTACTGGTGAAGATATGGAGAAATTGGAACCCTTCCTCATATGTTGCTGGCGGGAATGTAAAATGTAAAAATGTAAAGAACCTTGGAAGTCAGTTTGGTAGTTCCTCAAAAAGTTAAACATACAATTACTATGTAACCCAGCAGATATTCTCTTAGCTGAATACCAAGAGAATTAAACATATGTGTTTACACAAAACTTGGATGTAAATGTTTCTTTTCATTATTAGCATTATTCATAATAGTCAAAAAGTGAAAACCAACTCAAAATGTCATTGATGGATGAATGGATACCCAAAATGAGGCATGTTTGTACAAAGGAATGTTACTCAGCTATAAAAAGGAATAGAGCACTGGTACGTGTTACAACATGGATGAGCCTGAAAGTGTTAGAGTAAGTGAAAGGAACCACACAAAAGACCACATACATGGTGTGATCAAATAATAAGGTGACTATATAAAAAAAGTTACAGTAAAAGACACATTGCCATTAATCCTCCTCAAAATACTCCCCATTACTTTGAACACACTTAATCTCATCGTTCTTGCCACTTTCTGAAGCAGTTCTGGAAATCCTTTTATGAGTGTCTTTAGTTTTGCTGTTGTGGCTGCCTCAGTGTCCTGCATGGTCATTACCTTTCATGGTCATTTTGATTTTGAGGAAAAGCCAGAAGTCACATGGTGGCAGATCCGGTGAAGAAGGTGGATGAGGATACACTGTAATGTTTTTGACAAAATTTGCCATACCAGAAGCAATGTGTGACATGAAGCCTTTTCATTGTGATCACAAAATACAGTGAATGCTGCTGCCGGGTGCCATCCAACAAAAAGGCAGGGATCTTCAATACGGGAAGCAGCGCGTTGAACCTTAGTAACAGTGTGTGACAAGTTTCAGCTTGTTTGGTGCAGTCAGTTGGGTGTGAGCTACGGTTGAGAGAAGGTGTGTTTTAAAGTGTGCTGTAAACCATGCTCCATCATGACAACGCTCTGTGTCCCACATCGCTTCTGGTACAGCAATTTCTGTCAAATAAAAACATTACAGTGTGTCCTCATCCACCTTATTCACTGGATCTGGTACTGTGCGACTTCTGGCTCTTCCCCAAAGTCAAAATGACCATGAAAGGAAAACATTTTGAATCAATTCATGACATCAAGGCAGCCATGTCAGCTCAGCTAAAGACACTCATGAAAGAGGACTTCCAGAACTGCTTCGGAAAGTGGCAAGAAGGATGGGATGTGTATTCGAAGTGAGGGGGAGTATCTTGAGGGAGATTAATGGCAATGCATCTTTTACTGTAATAATTTTTTTAATTTAAACATTCATCGTATTGTTTGATCATACCTCGTACTGTGTGATTCTAAATTAAATGTCCACAATAGACAAATCAAAAGGCAGAAAGTAGATTCGTAGCTGCCTTGAGCTGGAGGAAGGGGAGAATGGGTAGGCATGGGGGTTTTCTTTTGGGGGTGATGACATGGTCTAATATTAGATGGTAGGGATCGTTGCACAACTCTGAATATATGAAGAACTATTCAGTCGTATACTAGTGGATTTTATGATATGTGAAGTGTATCAATTAAAAGAACTTACTGTTCAGCATTCAGCCAAGAGACAGAAACCATGTGGTAATTTGAACAGTGAAAGTTGAATGTGCAGAATTACTAACTATACCATGATTGAAGAAAAAGGGATTGGCTACTAAGAAATAAGAGGACTTTAATGAATACAGGAAGAACAGGTTTAATAAGGATCTACTAACCCCAGGGCTGTGATAAGTGCCGCAGAAAGATCCAGGCCTTGTTGGAGAGAGTGCAGCCATCACTCATTGGATGGTCAAGTTTCTGAGATAACAGACTCGAGGAAAATCCTCTCTTTGTGGTGTCGGAGAGGCCATTCACAGGGAATGCACCTTGGAACTGGCTGCAAGCCCCATGAGAGTCGCTTGCTACTCAAGGGGAGATGAGATGCCTTGCTGGTGGCAGCATAGGAAGCTGCTCCGCAGAGTGCTGGGGTCAGCTTGGGCTGCTGTGCACTGCGGGGCGCTGGTCCTTAGGAAGCTGTTCCCTGCAGGAGCCAGACGCTAATGCTAGAAGCAGGTACTGCGGGAGCCTGTCTGGAGAAAAAACTCCTACAGGGTACCTCTAGCTCCCTTTACTGACAACGCTTAACATCATGCCCTCTGGCAAAAGAGCAATATTTGAAGGGCTCTTCGTTTTTACAGAGAAGTCACTAATGGCAGATTTGGAGATGGGAGGTAATAAATTGATAACCTGCTCAAGAATGTATGTCAATCCCTCTCCCAATTTAGGATATATTCTTTTATGTTGGGTTTAAAGAAAGTACCAGGTATTCATCTCAAAATATCTAGACAAAATTTCGAAGTACTTTTGGAATGCTTTTAGAAACTTTTGTTTTAAATCACTACAAAAAATAATCATGGTCACTAAATAACATTGAACGATATTGAAATATTTTAAATGTAAAAATTTCCCTCTTATCCCTCAGCCCCATTCATGTCTCCTGAAGATAAAACTATTAACAGTTGCTGTACAGTATGTTGTTTTTTTCTGTATACAGTTGACCCTTGAACAACGAGGGGGTTAGAGGACCAGCCCACCTTCCGAGTGTGACTTAACTCAGCCCTCTGCGTATGTGTATTCCCAACTGCAGACGGAAATACAAGCGACAAGGGTCAACTGCACATATATATGTATATATGTGTGTACATGTATATATATATTTTTCCTAGTGATAGAGGTTTTATAGATATAGATATCGCATATGAGCTGTTTTTAGTTTTTTAATAGAAGGATGTAATCCTCACTCATGTCATCCTCTACCTTGTGTACACTAGGTGGATCATATAATCTCTGCTTTTCTAAACTTTTGAAATGAAGGGAAGTTTAAAATCTGTAATGGATAAAGTTTGATAGTAGTCGTAAGGGTGGTAACCATTAATCAGTTAACAGTTTTTAGTACAACCTAAATGTTCATATTTTTCCATGTGATTTGCAATTTAAATGTTTCTTACGGTGTTAAACATTTACACATTTATGTCTATGTTACTATTTAAATTTCAATGAAATTTGAATCAGAAATGTTTTTGGTTTTTTTTTTTAGAAAAATCCTGCAAAAATGTCTCTGTACCCATCTCTTGAAGACCTGAAGGTAGACAAAGTAATTCAGGTATGTTTTGTTTAAGTACTTCTTTCTCCACAGGTATTATAGCATACATTTTAGTGTCAGAAGTACGAAACTTAAATAGATGTATTTGTGCACTTTTACACTTCATAAATTTTTTTTTTTTAAGATTTTCTTTTTTAAATTGGGGAATTGGAGGAGGGGAACAGACAAGTTGCTGTCTTTTTGTTCTTCAGTCTAGTTGTGGAGGACGTTGCTTCACTGGCCCAAGTTGGCACCATCATTGTACTCTTCCCAGGTGAGGCAGATCTGTTGCCGGCTTCTGGACGGCCGCTCACGGGTGCTGCTGGCTACACATGGTAGCCCATGGCAACCCACTGCAGCAGGGGCTGCAGCCTACGCCAGCTGCGACTCACAGCAGCCCAGCCCCAGGTTGAGCAGCTGTTGTTCAGCATCTTAGCTGTAGAGGGCAGTGTCATTGGCCCTTATATGTGGGATCTGAACCGGGGCCCTCTGGCGTCCAAAGCCAGCTCTTAACCAACGCGCCACTCGGCCAGCCTCATACACTTTTTTTTCCAATTTATTAATTGCAGACTAAAAAGTTACAGAAAAGCTAGCAGTTCTTTTTCATTTCACTGTGAATTAATGGGCATGGGATAGTATTTCTTTAAAACCGGACTTAAACTATTCAAAGACAGCGTGATTTTATGACTAAAATTTAAATACAGCTTATGAGTTGGTGAAATAGACTCCAACTTTTTACATGTTCTAGGTTTGTTTAAAATTAGTACATTATTCTTTTGGTTCTTTAGGTATAACCAATCTTTAAAATAATTCTTTGCCTTGTCTTTGAAGTTAAAAATTATAGAAATAGTGAAGTGTACATGTTGCTTATAGAGAATAGTAGGGGGAAAGCCCACTGAAAGCATAGTGATTTGTTTCCTTTTAGATATAAGCAGCACACATTTCACATGTCCATGCTTTAAATAACTGTTAGAGATTACAGTATTTCTAATTTCATTAAGTCAGAACTGTTTGTAGTTCTTTCATTGAAGTATTAGCTTTGGAGACATGCTTCTGCTTAAGAAGTTTTGAGATTGGGATCAATTCTTGCTATTTTGTAAATTTTTTATTATTTTTAAGTGGAGATAATTTGTAGTGTTTAATGAACGCATCTTGTTTCCAGTTTACTTTCACCTTGATCTCTTATAAACTCAGAATTTTTTCAGCTGTTGTTTATTCTTTTAATTTGACAAAAATCAAACTTCTTGCACTTTTTTGTTCTTAAAATCTTTTAAATAAGTGTGATGAAATTTTTTTTAATTTGTTTTTTACTTCAAAGCTTCTTACCCTAAAGATCATTTTACTTGAGACCTTGACCTCAGTTTACTCTTAAGTGTGATGTACTTCTTAATTATTAAATGAGCATAAAATGTTTATTTCAAACTTGTGAGAAGTCTTAAGCAACCTCAAGAATGTTGTGTTTTTTAAGCAAACTGTTGACCTTTTTAAGGTGAAAAAAACTCCAGTAATAGTAACAGATCTGTGGCTGGAATGATTAACTTTGTAGCAAAATAGTAACAGCTATGTGGTTGGAATGATTAACTTTGTAGCAGTGATTGGGTGAATATGGGGGTGGACCAATAAACACATATTTTCCATCATAGATCCACTATGGATATTAAAATGTGCTTTGTAAAGTCTCTGAAATTTCCTGTTTAGCTGCCAAGGCTTTGATGCCTCACAATTGTAAGTGGCTTGTTCAGTCATCTTAAATGCTCTATCACTTCCTTCTTTAGTATTTTGTAAGTATTTTTCTCATGTTTTTATTTCCACAAAGTTCATCTAAACAAGTACTTTATTTTTTTTTAAGATTTTATTGGGGAATTGGGGGAGGGGAAACAGCGTTGGGGAATCGGGGAAGGGGAACAGACAAGTTGCTGTCCTTTTGTTCTTCAGTCTAGTTGTGGAGGACGTCGCTTCACTGGCCCACGTTGGTATTGTGATCATTGTGCTCTTCCTGGGTGAGGCAGTCACTCGCTGGCCATTGGATGGCCACTCACGGCGGCTCACAAAAGCACAGGCCAGCTGCCAGCCAGCCCCACTGCAGCCTACGCCATTGTCAGTGACTCATGGCAGCCCAGCTCCAGGTCGAACTGTTGTTCACCATCTTAGCTGTAGAGGGCGCAGCATCACTGGCCCTCATGTGGGATCTGAACTTAGATCTGCTTAGAGCTGGTGTCCCAAGCCAACTCCTAACCAATGCACTCGACTGGCCCACGTTTTTTTTTTAAAAAGCCTTTATCTGAAATATTTAGCCTTCATGAATAACAACCATTACTACGACATCAGAACACTAACTGATAAGGGTTTGCAGATGAATGGAAGGAATCACTAATCCCTTTCATCTTTTTTGTTCATTTTTATGGAATCGAACTCTAAATTAACCACAGATCACTTCAAGCAGAGGTTTTTGATTTTTAAAACAGAAAAAGAAGTAAAGAGTTGATATTGACAAATAGTGCATTGGAAAATAAAGAGGACTACAGTCTGCATCAGGCTGACCTCTTTAAGTAGAAGCAAATTCAATGGATGTTTCCGTTGGAAGACCTTTTATGTTCTGAGAAGAAGTCTAGTGGCTTGGAGATATAACAATGAGTATGGAGGGGTAAACATTTTGTTTTTGTTTTGTTTCCTTTTATTCTCACTGGATTAAAAATATTCCTAACCTAGCTACTGAAGTCTTGGACTTTTTTTTTTTTTTTTTTTAGATTTTATTGGAGAATTGGGGAAGGGAACACTGTGTTTTTCCAGGACCCATTAGCGCCAAGTCAAGTTATTTGTCCTTTAATCTTAGTTGTGGAGGGTGCAGCTGAGCTCCAAGTTCAGTTGCCGCTTTTAATTTCCCCATGTATAAGACACACCTTTTTTTCAAAAAATTTGGGGTCTAAAAACTGGGTGCGTCTTATATAGTGGTTGTATTAGCGCCCCCCCCCCCGAAAAAAGCGCGAAACGCAAGTAAAAAAAAACCCTACAACCACTGTATAAGATGCACCCAGTTTTTAGACCCCAAATTTTTCGCAAAACGCTGTCTTATATATGGTAGTTGTGGGGGTGAGTAGCCCTCTATCACATGCGGGAGTCGAGCTGGCAACCTTGTTGTTAGGAGCCATGTGCTCTCACCAGCTGAGCCATCCTGCCACCTTTTGGCAGCTCAGTGGCAGCTCAGCTCGGGCGCAGCTCACTGGCACATGTGGGAATTGAACCAGTGAACTGGTTGCTTAGAGCTTGCGTTCTTAACCAGCTGAGCCACTCAGCCAGCCGTGAAATATATTTTTGATTTGCAGATTTTCTTTGAAAAAATACTGAGGGTGCCAAAAAAATGTATACACGTTTTAAGAAAGAAAAAAAACTATTAATTTACATTGATGGTAACTACTTTGAGCACCTCTGTAACTGCAGAAGTCAAACGTGACTTGTGTTCATCTTTTGTTACCAGTATATATTATTATAATTTTAATATAGTTTTTTCCTTTCTTAAAATGTATATACATTTTTTTGGCACCCTCTGTATATTGCGGAAGCATTTGAAATTAAACTTTCTTGAATATAACTTCAGTGTTTTTCTTTTTTGAAGCACTGAATTTAGCTCATAAATTATATAAGAATTTTAAATATGTATATATAATAATGTTGTTAGAATTTTCATCTTTTCTTTTTCAGGCTCAAAGTGCCTTTTCTGCAAACCCTGCCAACCCAGCAATTTTGTCTGAAGCTTCTGCTCCCATCGCTCAAGATGGAAGTAGGTTTATACTTTGTGTTCATTCTCCTTGATCAGAAATGTCTTTCTTTTGCAGAAATAGGGAATCCAAGATTAAAAAAGAAAAAATATGCAGCATAAAATTGGTGGTTAAAGCTCTAGTAGTAAGAGGAAAAAATGTTCATTTCAAAAAATAAACCTTTAATCAAGAAAGTGAACTATGAAGATGTGTTTTATGGCTTAATGAAAATTAAGTTAATTAAATGAAATTTTAGTCCTAAGTTCCTAACTTAACGACTGATTAACTTATGTGAATTGTGCCCATAATACTGTTCTTCAGCTTCCTGAACTGTCTTCTGTTTTGGGGTGGGGGGAATTTCCAACCACCTCCTTTTGGGGGAACCTTCCCAAATCCTGGGATCTCTGCCCAGTCTCCATGCCCTTCTCTTCAGTCTCTTTTCCTTCTAAGTTCGTCAGGATTCAGGAGAGCCCATAAATCATATGACTTAAGATACAAAAAGAGTGTTAAGTAGGTTTTTGTGGTCTCCCATTTTATAACTATTTATAACATTGTTTCTTTTAGAAAGTCCACTTTAAGTCTTTTTTTTTTTTTTAAATAAAAATCATGTAAAAAAGAGCTTTTGGAAATAATACCTGACTCTACTAGTGAGTTAAATACTGTTAATATTTAAATATACTGTTTACAAGATTTCTTTGGAATGTGTTTAACATTCTTAAAATGATATCACACTAAATAAATTTACAAGCTTTGACTTTTTAAAAAATTGTAGTTAACGCAGAAGAATCATTTCATAACCGTGTTTACTGAATGAATTATAAAGTAGCTGCCTTGACAGATATTTTTGTCAGTTTTTCTATGTTGGAGAATCAGTGGTATGTTTACAGAATTGCTAATCAAATTGGTTTATTTTAAGAAAAAGGAAAGACAAGATCATTTACTTGGAAAAGTTATTTCTACTCTCCTGAGTATTTATAAGTCTGAGGTTATTTCAGTTCAAATGTCTTTATATTTTATGACTTTCACATTAAACTTTTTCTTTATTTTCCATTTCTGATTGTCATTACAGGGAGGTGCTTTTCCAATTTGCTAATTTAAACTCATCTTAGAATTGTAAATTAATGTAACTTTTTAAACAAAAGTAGAAACCCATTGTAAAGTTTTCATTTTTAATATTCTATTAAAGATATTTCATTTGAATGTTTTTTTCTTTATTTATTGACTTATTTATATTAGGTCTCTATCCTAAATTGTATCCGGAGCTCTCTCAGTACATGGGCTTGAGTTTAAATGAAGAGGAGATACAGGCAAATATGGCCATGGTCCCTGGAGTATCAACTCAGGGGGTATGTATAGTGTAATTAATTTTGAATTACATAAAATCATACTTTATACATAGACAAACTCTCCTTTTTGTGGTTAACTCACAGATGTATAACTTTAGCCACAGATTTGTCAGAAATTTTAGACTGCCTTCTGAATATTACTTTTAAGTTGCCTACTTCCTTTTGTGCTGTTACCACTTTTCTAATTTATTAGGAGTTAAAAATTCTTATTACACCTTTGACTAGTCCATTATCCTTTATCTTCTGCATATAGTCAGTTACTAAGACCTAGTGATTCTGTCTCCACCGTGTTTCTTGTATTCACTTTATCCGTTCGTCTTAACTGTGACCCTCCTCAGGGTTTCTATACTTCTAACCTAGATTGTTACAGTAGTCTCTTACACCTCCTCTTTTCACTTCTTACAACAAACAGCTCTTAGCTGCTGCTAGATTAATCATTCTGAAGTACTGGCCTATCACATCTTTATTTTGCTCATAATGTTTTAACATTTCAAGGTCTAACGTTCCTTATAATTAGACCCTAAGTTCTAGGTTTAAATATACTGTATCTTGTAGCCTTTTATTAAGGTTATTGCTATAAGACTATAGTACTTTATAGCACTTAAAATCACAATTAAACACTTAATTCTCTTCATGTTGTGTTGCTGTAACCCCAGTGCTTAATACAGTATATGATGTTTATTTATTTACCAAATATTTTTGAAAACTTGCATCAGTAATGGGTCAATCTAGCTGACATTTTACACTATTATTCCTGTATAACTGGGAAAAGGCTATTAATAAATTTTGTCTACAAATGTGTAATTAGCAACATACTTCTAGCTACCACTTATCAAACAAATGGTCAGTTGGGAAAACAGAAATCACAGTAGGTATTTCAACAGAGATAATTTAAGAAATTAGAGGTTTAAGAATTGAAAAAAGCAATAATGGAGTACATCTGTAATTGCAGAAAGTAGCTGCCCCTCTTAGGACTGGAGTAACATGGGAGAGACTGGAGGTATCAGAACCTAGAAGCGTGGGGGACTAGCTCCATGGAGCTGGCCTCAGACGTTGGAGGAGGGCACACTGTTGGCAGTGCTGGTACCTCAGAAGGGTTGCAGTGAGGCTGGTTCTGGGAATGTCAGTAAGAGCTGGTGAATGGAGTTAACTGCTGCCACCAGGGTTAAGGGCTAGGCCCAGGCAGTGCTGACAGGAACAGGAAGGAACAAGACACTTGTCCCTCTTCCAGCCTCTGGTCTTCTAGTGCCTCATGTGGTGGATGCTAACCAGAAACCCGCTGACAACGGAAAGTGTATTTTGCATATTTTAACCCCCAGAAACACTAAGTAGAAGGGTGGGTTTGGGGCTGACGGACAGTAGCTTTTTACCTAACACTGCCTACTCCTCTGACTGCTCAGTATGTCCACACACTTCTGCAAATACTCTCACTTCACGTGACAGCAATAACAACTTTATACTTTCCCCTTGAAAGATGCAATTCTTCATAAAATTGAAGTTGAGCAAACATTTTCTATTAAGGGGCCCATAGTATTTTAGGTTTTGCTGGCCACACACGGTCTCTGTCTCATACTCTTCTTGTTTTCTGTTTATTTCTTTACAAATTTTCAGAAATACAACAATCATTCTTTTTTGTTTTTCTTTTTAAGATTTTTATTGGGGAATTGGGGGAAGGGGAACAGACAAGTTGCTGTCATTTTGTTCTTCAGTCTAGTTGTGGAGGACGTTGCTTCACTGGCCCAAGTTGGCACCATCATTGCGCTCTTCCTGGGCGAGGCAGATCAGTCGCCGGCTTCTGGACGGCCGCTCACTGCGGCTGCTGGCCGCTCACGCTGGCTGCTGGCTACACACGGTAGCCCATGGCAACCCACTGCCACAGAGGCTGCAGCCTACGCCGTCGCCAGCGACTCACAGCAGCCCAACTCCAGGTTGAGCTGTTGTTCAGCATCTTAGCTGTGGAGGGCAGTGTCACTGGCCCTCATGTGTGGGATCCGAACCGGGGCAAGCCAGTTCTTAACCATCTTGCCACTCGGCTGGCCCCCAAAAATCACTCTTAACTCAGGGTGTATAAAATAAAGGCAGTTACCTCTGAGATATCGAAGTTACTCTTCCCCTTTTCCCCAAATAGGACATTACCAGTTATTGTGGCCATTTCTGGCCAGTGGTCCATGGTATTGATTACTTACTGTGTGATATTCATTACCCCTATAAGTATTCATATTCCCAGATGAATATTTTTAACCTAGAGATAAAAATATAAACTTAACCACTACCAACAATTCGAGTATTAAAGTAGAAGGAAGTAGGGAAAAACAAAAAATTAATTGATAACGTGTACCAAATTGATAGATGGAGCAGAGAAGAAGAAGGTCCCAGCCGCTGTGACTCTCATTGTGGTAACTGGTTAGGAGGCCGAGTCAGTCTGGGGACGCCCTTTGCCTACTGCACATTCTTCTGGGCTTTTGTTTTTTAATACTTAGTGGGGTGACCTAAACCTTCATCTTTGAAGTGTCTGAATCACCAGGGCTCTGTAGTGCCCTACCTTTTTTTTCTTTTTTCTTTTAATTTATTGCTGGAGATTTCTATTAACTCTTCCCATCTAGAGAATTTTTCATTTCACATATTGTGTTTTTCTTCTCTAGATGTTCCAGCTGATTTTTATGCCTTTTTATTTCTCTCCGTATTGTTTCCTTTAAATCGTTGAGCATATTGAGCATATTTTTATAGTAGCTGTTTTAAAAATTTGCATGCTAATTTCATGAGCTGTAATTTCTAGATCTTTCTGTTGACGTTTCTCCTGATTATGGGTTACATTTTCCTGCTTGTTCACACGCCACCTATTTTTTTTAATTGGATTTGGACATTGTGAAGTTTTTGTTGTTAGGGGCTTGGTTATGTTGTATTTTTTTGAAGTGTGTCAGCACTTTGTCAGCGGGTTTCTGGCAGGCAATTAAGTTACATGTGCATCAGCTTGATCCTTCTAGGGCTTGTTTGTACACTTTCCTGGGGTACACCAGACCTGGGGTAGGTCTGAAGCAGCCTTTAATGCAGGGCTAGTGGATCCCCTACTAAAGTGTGTCCCCTCTAGGTTCTCCACTGAATGCTCTGGGGGTTCAGCGAACACACTCCACTCTGGCTCCCCCCTGGTGTGAGCCCTGGGAAACGCTAAGCTGCAGCTCCCTGCATGTTCGTTGCCTGGCTGTGGAGCTTCACCTCACACGTACTTGGACTTGGGGTGTCTGGAGCTCAGCCCTGAAAACTGTAGCTGTCTTACGAGCTGCTTCAGCCTCCTGACCTCTGATCTTTGTCTCAACTCAAGAGCATGGTGTGCTGCTTAGGGTTCGTACCTCTGTGCTTCTCTCAGGGATCACTGTCCTGTGCTGCCTAACGTCCACTGTCCAAAAATTGTTGCCTCCTATGTTGCCAATTTTCTAGTTGTTTATGGCAGAGGTAAGTCTGGCCCCATCATGACTGTAAACAGAAGTCTGTTTTTCTATTAATTGTACTGTTGGACATGGAAGACCTTAAGGCATCTCAAAGAATCCCCTGGGTTCCAAATATAGTCTGGAACTCATTACCTAGCAGCAACCCAGTTTCCTCGTGGTAACCAGAATCAATCGCCCTAGTCTGGTCAGTAACCTTCTCTTGCCTTTGTTTCAGTGGCATGTGAAGTTGAAAGCAGTTAGGTGGCCATCGTCTTCTACAGGGGAAACTCTGTTGGGTCCCCTCCTGGAGGCATTCCTTCCTTGTAAATCAGACCTCCAAACTGCAGAGCTCAAAGCTGTGGGGCTGGGTTGCAAAGGGTTTGTGCATGGGTGTTTAGATGTAACGGTGAGAGGAAATATTCCCACAGCCACACCTGGGTTTCCAGACCTTATATTTGGGCCTTGGAAGAAAGTACATCATGTATTTGGTTGCTCATTCAAAGTTTATATTGTATCCTGTAAGGTAGAAAGAAGCCCAGCTTCTCAACATGTTGTGCTTCCCCAGGCATCTTAACTGAGTGGAGATGAGAGCCAATAGCTTAAGAACCTGCCCACTCCAGGCTCTGTGCTCGGTGTGGCAGAATAGTTAGAATAGCGAGCCACAGCGTCCTGCCCGTCCCCACGCCAGTGAAACTCAATATTCTAAACAAATAAACCATACTTAGGACGTGTGGAAGAAGAGGAAGTGAATAGTCTGCCACGGCTGTATTTCATTGTGGCAAGCGTGTGCATGCTGTCTGAAAGGTTGACATTTGAGCAGAGAGCTGAACGAAATGAGGGCGTGAGGCCCGTGAATATCTGGTGGGAGAACATTCTGTACAGTATAGACACAACTCAAAGGCCTTCAGGCAGAGATGAACTTGGTAGAGCTGAGAGACAAGGCCTGTGTGATGGGCAGGTGGTGGGCAAAGGAAACAAGGCAGAACGTGAGAGCAGGTGGCATTGGAGGGGGGTGGTCAGGGTCAGGTGGTCTGTAGCCTCGTAGACTACGGTAAGGGATTAGGATCTGAGTTGTGGGAGTGGCATAATGATATTTTTTAAAAAAGATTTCTATGCTTGGTGTGTGGAGATTGGATAGTAGAAGGGCAAGCGGCTAAGCAGAGAGCCTGTCTAGAAGGTCATCGTGTGGCCCTTCCAGAGATGGTTGCTTGCTTAGGCAGGGGGCGGGGGTAATGTGGTGTTGAGAATGGTCGTAGTAAGAACTCATATAGGTACTTAAAAATACTTGCTGGAAAAAACGATTTCTTTTACAAAAATTAAACCTACTGTAAAGGCCCCCCTTTTGTCCTGTACTCCAGCTAAACTAAATAATTCATTTGCATCTGAAGTTTTTCTTTTTCTATGCTATTACCTGATTTTTCTTTGTCTCATAGTATTTATTTTGAATCTTTGTAATCCTTCATAAGTAATACTTTTTGGCATTGTGTTCTGATTTCAAGTATAGCTGTGTGTGGTATGTGTATTACTCCTGGTAGATTGTCAGCTTTAGAATATGATGTTATAATTACCATGAGTTCTGAACAAAATACCCTGCAATCCGTAGTGTATATGTAGTTAAGGTTCCTCTTCCCCTGCCTTTGCCACTGTGAGGAATGGAGGTCGACCTGAGCTCTTTATGACAGATTCCAATTAAGAGGTCTTGGTGAGCTCTTCCATCATTGTCTTTTTGGTTTGGAAAATAAGAAACCAGTTTTAGTGAAGAAGACTTGAAAAATATGAGAAACTTTAAATATATACGGTAGCTGACATGAGTCCCTAAAATATTGGGTTGTCAGAAAAGTCATGACGCATTTTTACAACAAAAAACAGAGAAAAAATATATCATGACTTTTCCGACAACCCAATAGCTATTCTGGTTTGTGCCTACAATTGGGTAATTCACAGGTATTTATTAAATGGGACAAGAAATAATATTTGATTATCTTGTGTGCCAGCACTCACATAATATGCACGTTTAATCCTCACAGTGGCACTGGGAGGTGAGAAGTTTGCTCTTTTATAAAAACTCTGAAAAGGTAACTAGATTGCTAAAAACCAGACCATATAAAAGAGCCCTCTGCAAAATGTTGTGTGAGTTTCAAAAATATGATATGGCCTTTAAGTTCAAGGATAATACGTTTGAGTTGAAGACAAACCAAAGTGCACATGAAATAAATAGCAGCGAATTCAGAAGGCAGCAGACAGAGTAAGTAACTGAGTGAATCTACTGGAGATGATAAATGTGGGAATATGTACCTGGGGAATTCGTAAATAAAAACCAGCGTCACATTTTTACATAAATCAAACCTTATTTGATAGAAATAATTTCCAGATTACTTTTTGGAAACCACAACTGAGTATATTCAAGTAATTTAACATTTTAGATTTTTTTCACAGTGAATGTTTGTAAATGTTGACACAGTGTATGTTTTTGTCAGCAGTTGGTAGCAAGACCTTCCAGTATGAACTATATGGTGGCTCCTGTAAGTGGTAATGATGTTGGAATTCGTAGAGCAGAAATTAAGCAAGGGATTCGTGAAGTCATTTTGTGTAAGGATCAAGATGGAAAAATTGGGCTCAGGCTGAAAGCTGTAGATAATGTAAGTATTTTTAATGTCTTTTGAATTTGTCTAGCTTATAGAATATTAAGTGATCAGTGTTAGAATACTTTAAAATGAAATGCTTTAATTAGCTATAATGGTCTGTCTGTAATTGAGAATATTTTAAATCTGTTAACTTAAGTTTTTCCACTTGGAGATGCCCTGTTGTGAAGAGGCAGAGCTGGGACTTCCAGCATTACTTTGTACACATATATTTTTCTCTTTTTTGAGTCTTCTTCCTGGAATAAAGTTCACTGGTGTGCATATATGACAACATAGTTTATATGAATAGAATTCTGGCATTAAAATAGGGCAATATATGTGGAAGTTTAGGAAAGACTGACGGGTGAGAATCAGTGGTCTTATGATGAGTATTTTTATACCAAATGGTGATCATTTAACTTGGGAAGAGGTTTTACAGTTTTGTTATTTCCATCCTTCAATTTGAATTTAATAGGTCATTTCTGTGCAAAGTTGGCTTTCTAATTAGGGTAGGCATTACTTTATAATGACACTACCTCTCCCCTTACCATACTGGAGAAATCAAACAGGGTTACTCTGAGGAAGCTTTCAGGATTAAGGACGTGCCCAGTCTTGACCCCAGTATGGCTGGAGGCGTTGCCTTTTTCGATTCCTTTTTAGTCTTGAAGTCTCAGCTCATTGTGTCCAATCTTTTCACACACAAAATGAGCGTGGCACATTGTGGTAAATGGCGGAGGCTGATCTTGGCAGGAAGCCCCAACCTTGCCTGCCTACCCAGAGGGCTGAGGGCATCGGTGTCTTCGCACATGCGTAGTTTACTCAGGACATATCAGCGTGCATGTTTGAGCAGCTCTGACTTTGCTGCTCTCCCTTCCTCTTCAGTGAAGAGAGTATTTGCTGTCCCTTCCGCCAGGGTTTTTCCTCCACTCCTTCCTCTGTCCGTCCTAAGGAAATGAGATACTCTTCGTAGGCCCTTGCCCCCCGTTGCAGTTATCCTTGCAGTGGATTGTCCACTTGGCCGAAGCTTATTGGTCAGACCACTTTACAGGATGCTGCCCAGTTTCCATGCACCACCCTAAACTGAAGTAGAGTACACAGACAACAGTCATGTCTGACCCAGCTAACGATGGTCGATAGGGTCTAGCCTTGTAGATGCTTTCACGTTTTACCAGTTTTGCTCTTCTTTTATACTTGTTTATATTTTGTTCAACATCTGAGATTGAGAGTTTATGTAAGTAAAAATATCCATGTGGGTTTAGTTTTTAGTTAAACATGCTTGAGTTACCTCATAGTGGATTCTTTATAAGAACTGGAGTGGTATTGAATGTGCCCACCTTTTTAGGCTGTTTAATCATAAAATCTTATTTGATTATGCATAATTTAGCAAATGGGTAAAGGAATCCTTCAGCTTGAAAGGTAGTTATGAACTTAAACTTATCATTTTTTAAACTGTGAAAGAAATCTCAAAACTTCTAACACTTGACTCGCCTTCCCCTAAGTCGTCATGATCATGTGGCTAACACCTACTTGGTGTTGTCAGACTCACAGAAGCTCACATTTATGACAGTAATCCTGCTTTGTTTTCCTTAGTCTTTTTATTCCAAGTTGAGGTGAGCCAGATGGGTCATGATTTGAGGGGGAAATCACCACTTGAAATCTCTTTTTTGCTTTATTTCTTGGGGTTATTCCCTTGATAAAATTTTCGGTTTCTTTTTTGGGGGTAATGATGCATACTTTGTTTGTTTGTTATTTTAATTACTAGGGTAGATTCCTAAGCTAAACAGTTGGTTCCTAATTTTCCAGCATTTTAAAACTATACCATAACAGTGGTAAATGACCAAAGTTATTGTCTTCTTCTGTAGGGTATATTTGTTCAGCTAGTCCAGGCAAATTCTCCAGCCTCGTTGGTTGGTCTGAGATTCGGGGACCAAGTACTCCAGATCAATGGGGAGAACTGTGCAGGCTGGAGCTCTGATAAAGCACACAAGGTGCTCAAACAGGCTTTTGGAGAGAAGATTACTATGACTATTCGTGACAGGTAAGCTGACTAAACAGTTCAAATAGAAATTCAAGACTAGTTTTCTGTTTTCTTACGCTTTATTCTGTGAATTCAGTATTTCGTTGCAGAAAATAATCAAATGTTTTTGATGAGCCTTAGAGTCTTAAAATTGTGATGCAGATTTTTCTCACATCGTTTGATTTTTTTAAAAAGAGCATTCTGGTTTTGTATACACCTAATTGCAGGGCTTAGAGAAATTTGTCCTCTAAGAAGTTACTTCTCTTAATCTGTTTCTCTAAAACATATAGAAAATGTCTATTGGAAAAGTAACTAAGCAGCATGGCGTCTGGCCTCACTTTGCAATTCACTGCGTAGACATCCAGCCTGGGGTGTAAGTGCCAAGATCCCTGCAGAACTCGCAAGTGGTCTATGAGTTCTGAAAACCACAGCTGGCCTGTTGGGTGGTTATGAAGCTCTCGATGTCCAGGTGGGGGATGGAGCGTTTTCTGTAGCAGTTAGTTCATTTATAACATTTAGTACATGAAGCACAGGGCCTCCATGTATTTCTTGCCCCAGCCCTCACAAATGTTAAAGGTGGACCGATATATATCCTGTTTTTGCAGTTAGCTTTTGGGTTTTTATTCTTCTCATTTAAACTTGTTTATTTGCTTTTGTGTTTCCAGTTTCTCACACATGGTAGGTATTTAGTTGTAGATGAATGCCATTTTTGCTTTCTATCTAAGGAAAAGAATAACTAGGACTAACAGGAAGATATAACTGTTCTGAGTTTTATGAAAGCACAGGTTTATCATAAAACCCATATAACATCATGGCAGTTTGTAGAGAGGCGAGCAATCATAACCGGCATGATAGCTTGTGAGAATAGACAGCCCAGCTGCACGCCTGCCTTTCTCTAAGGAAGTTTCTAAAATCCAGTTGTCTTTGACACGTAAAAAAAAGGACATCTTGATTAGTACGTTAGGCAAACCATCATGGAGAAACTTGTTTTAAATTACAGTTGACCCTTGAACAACACGGGTTTTGAACTGCGCAGGTCTGCTTATACACGGATTTAATTAATAAGTGGACCTGCGCAGTTCAAACCCATGCTGTTTAAGGGTCAAATTCTTTGATCTGCTGTTGGGAATCTGCCAGTGTGGTGGGCCGACTATAGTTTAGTTTCTGGAGTCAGAAGTTATTTGTGAATTTTCAACTGCACAGGGGTCAGCGCTCCTAATCCTACCCCCCCTCCACGCCACCCCGCATTGTTGAAGCGTCAACAACTGTAATCTTTGGCGCTGAGGTGTTCTGTGAATGTGCAATATCAGAGCTATACTTAGTTGCTTTTATTAGAAACACTGAGTTTATTATAACAAAGCATCCAGTTTGGCACAATAGAAGAAATCCATTAAAATGTTTACCATGGAATTGTATTTTTAATTGAACCCATTATGTTTACAGGCCCTTTGAACGTACAATTACTATGCATAAGGATAGTACTGGACATGTTGGTTTTATCTTTAAAAATGGAAAAATAACATCCATAGTGAAAGATAGTTCTGCAGCCAGGAATGGTCTTCTCACAGAACATAACATCTGTGAAATTAACGGACAGAATGTCATTGGGTTGAAGGTAAGGAACAGAACTTGTGTCTTGTTCTGCTGGCTTTATTTTAGCAAATGTCTTTTTCATTTGTCTGTCTAGTTGGTGCTGTTTTCATTTTGACCTCCAAAATGTAGAAACTCAGTGGGGAGACAGGCGACCTGGGGCCTGGGGCTCTGTCTAGGCTGTGTGCTACTCTCAGGCCAGTCTAAGGAATTACCTGAGCTACTATCTGGAATTGTTCCTGTGTAACAAGGGGGCTGGACTAGATGATCTCCAAAGCCCCTTGAACTAGAATTCTGTGGAGATGTGGGCATTGAAGGTTAGATGGCATTTTGAGTGAATGATTGCCCAACTTTTTTTTTTTTCTTTTTTTTTTTTTAATTGGGGAATCGGGGAAGGGGAACAGATAAGTCCCTTTGTTCTTCAGTCTAGTTGTGGAGGACATTGCTTCACTGGCCCAAGTTGGTACCATCATTGCGCTCTTCCCGGGCAAGGCAGATCAGTCGCCGGCTTCTGGATGGCCGCTCACGCTGGCTGCTGGCCGCTCACGCTGGCTGCTGGCTACACACGGTAGCCCATGGCAACCCACTGCCACAGGGGCTGCAGCCTACACCGTCACCGGCGATTCATGGCAGCCCAGCTCCAGGTTGAGCTGTTGTTCAGCATCTTAGCTGCAGAGGGCAGTGTCACTGGCCCTCATGTGGGATCCGAACCGGGGCCCTCTGGTGTCCCAAGCCAGCTCTTAACCATCGCGCCACTTGGCCGGCCCTGCCCAGCTTTTTTCCATCTAGATGGTAGGAAATGAGTAGTTGTTTTTATGAGTACTTGTTTTTATAGCTTTTTTCTTTCCACAAATTCCTGAACAGGGCTATTTTGACGTCTGAAAGTTTTCATTAACACCTGGTTATTTCATAAACAGTGGCTAGGAATACACAGTTAACTGAGGGGATGTGGTAATATTGTACATGGGGAAATTATTTAATCTTAATAAAAAGATTTTTTTGGCTAATATATGCAACTCAGTTTAGTTAGCAATTTTGCTACTACCTATAACATTGTGATTCTATAGAATTAAACTTGATAAGGAAAATAAGAAAAAATTGTAAATATCAAGGGTTAGGATTTTAGAGAGATTAGCAAAACATAAGAGGACATACATGTTTATCAAGAATAACAGTTACAATAAGGAAAAAAAGGATAACAGTTTTATATTAAAGAAAGCATCTGGAATTTTCATTATGTTTTCAACAGGACTCTCAAATTGCAGACATATTGTCAACATCTGGGACTGTAGTTACTATTACAATCATGCCTGCTTTTATCTTTGAACATGTCATTAAGCGGTAAGTAAACAGTTCTTTAACTTGTTGATTATGGTCATGTGACTTAGTATAAGCACTGTGCTTTCTTTTAATTCCCAAACCTTTGGTTCGTTACCTAAAAGGCACTGGTATTTATCTAAAAGTTTGAAGTAAATTGTTTAAATCACAGGAATTGGTTGGTAAGTATGACTCCTCACAACTTCCGAAGTGTGGAATAAAATTCGCCATCCTCTTCCCTAAATGTTGACATTTCCTAATAGGAAAAGGGTACACAAGCAGACGCGGGCAGGCTTTCATTTCCGCTCCCGATTTTCAGTAAAACGGGCTGTGGTTGCAGTCTGCCTAGAAATCCACTCATGGTGGTTCATGATGGTGAATTCTTGCCTGTCGGGTGTGAAAAGTCCCAGTTTTCCTTCTGTTGAGCATCTCAGGAGGTTCATAGTCGCGTGTGGGGTGTGGTGTGTGGAGGGTGAGGGCTGGAAAGCTCAGAAGAGAGACTGCAAAAGAAGCCAGGATTATCGTCTCTAGAGCTTTAAAAATCCTATTTTTGCTAAGCCAACTTAGAATCGTTCTTTCAGAATCTATCTTGTATGTAGAAATAAGGTTTAAAAATTCAAAAATATAACACCTGTAATGAAAGTTTTGTTTGATTCAACTTCTGGGTAGAAGGTAGCTAGCTACTTTTAGGGTAAAAACAAAAAAAGTTATTGTCATCACTGATCATTCTAGAGTGGTGGCCTCTTCTTAAACCAGTGATAGTTGCCCCCACACCCCCGTTTCCCTCCCAATTCATAACAGCATTGTCATTTTCTTTCTTTTTTAAATCATCAGCCTGAATACACAAGGACTTCCTTGTACAAGTATCTAACTTTTCTAGCCAAGGTCCAGACAGCCTTTCACACAGGATATTTGCAAACAACTAGATTACACGAGACCCTTAGATCAGAACTCATTAGAAAGACCTGCCCCCTCCCCAGCATCCCACTTGATGCTATCTGGTGCTAAGTTTGAATTGGGTTGTTCTTGGCTCAGCATAGCATTTTTGAAAACAAGAAACCCAAGCTTCAGTATTTAATAAAAGTGTGATTCTCTTGTAGGATGGCACCAAGCATTATGAAGAGCCTGATGGACCACACCATTCCTGAGGTTTAAAAGTCATGGCACAATGGGAACTTGGCTGAACTCCAGTTTACTTCTTTGGCATCTTAACTTTATATTATGCACATGGAGCTTTCTAGGAGCCAGAGAGCATACGCTGCATGAGGACCTAGTTCTAGCTCACATCATGGCTGGGAATCTTTCTGTTTGATCTGATATCTTGTTCAGACTTCAAGATAGTTGTAGCCTTATCCTGATTTTACAGATGTGAAACTTTGAAAAGATTTACTGACTTTCATAGAATAGTTTCTCTACTGGAAACCTGATGCTTTTATAAGCCATTATCATTAGAGTGACTGATGCAGGCTTAGCTTTGTGTTAGCCTAGGTATCAAGTAGTGCTGTTCATATTACTTTACTTCTATGGTACATTTGCATTTTTACTGTTACCATAGTTTATTTAGAATGATTGCTTTTGATAGTTTGTGTGTGTGTGTGTGTGTGTGTGTGTGTGTGTGTGTGTGTGTGTAGTGCATGTCTGTAAAACAATTAAAAAACACTGGTTTCATTCCATGTAAGCATTACAGTGTGTGTAGGTTGCAAGACATTGTGTTATTAAAATTTAACTACCTTTAATTAATATGCTTGAACTGTCGCCTTAACTATGTTAAGCATCTAGAATAAAAGCCAAAATATAACTATTGCTGCCTTCTGAAACCCAAAATGCAGTTCTATAGTAAACTGAAATGTACACTAGCCCAGAATAATTTAATGGTACATACTGAGCTATAGCATCGCTGCTTAGTTGCATTTGAGATTTTCTAGTCATTGTGTAATGGAAACTTCTTTCTTCTAAAAGTTACTGGTATCATTTCTGAAAAATGAACTACTATATTTAATGTAAAAATTCTTATACTAAGGATCAACTTTTGACTCCCTTTTTTCATTTGTAGATTAAGTGGAAAAAGACCTGATTTTGACATGTTACTCTTATCCTTACCATTATGTAACCTAGCTACTCTGGGATGGTCTTAGACGGTTGTCCTGGTAATCTGTTCCACTTCCTGACTCCTCCCTGCAAACAAAACGGCATTGACACTTCATCCTGATTATTTTTCTTTGTGGTTTATGCCTATTCTAATTAAATATGTATAAATAAAGTTAAATTTTAGTCTGTCTGTCATTGCATCATGTGGAAACTATCCATGGATTTCACCAAACATGTGCATGACCTAGAAAACAAGCATGGGAAATTCACCTTGGGCAGCTGACATCCAGGGGCCCTGAGAAAAGCCCTCTGTGCTAAGAGAGGAGGAATGTCAGGAAAAGTGCTTCCAGCTGTGAACCCCATATTGACAGCTCTGCACCCCTCAGGTCCAAGCAGCAGGACCTCATGCTGTAGACTCAATACCAGAGACCAAGTGATGTTTAAAGACATTTAAAACTGACTGAAAATTCTATCACCCTGATCTGATTCGAGTTTTTCCCCCATGTCATATACTGTCTATAAGATATAACAATATTTTTAAAGAGTAGAAAATTTTTAAATCATATAATTACTGTGATTCAAAAAGAAGCTGCTACTGCCTAACAGCTACTTTGCTGTCTGGACTTGGGTCTGAAGATAGTTCCAAAAGCGTAAGAACAACATTCACCTCACTAAGTGTGGTTTTCTAGAAGGATTGTTACTTGAAGTTCTTAAAATGTATTCGTCTTTGTAATCATTTAAATAAGAAAATAACAACTTTCATTACAGAAAAATATTTTTAATGTAGAAAAGATGAGCATTTAATAGCTATGATGAAATAAATGGTTCCTATACACAGTAAACAAGAACCGCCAATCCTTCCCCAGGTTCTTAGAATCTGGGCACAGTAGGTTATAGAAAGTAACCACTCCATGAAAACACATCCCAAAAACCCAACAGGCAGCAATTGCGTAGATCAGTAAGACAAAATAGAGTGACTTGGAAGGAGAGAAGACTGCACATTTTCTTGGAAAATTCTAAATTGTTCAATGCATCTGGAAGTTTCCCCAGCCCAGTTTAGTATCTTAGTTACTTAGCCACTCAAACCTATCTTCTGACCAACCATCTGCCTTATAATATTTTCTCCCTAACACTCATATCTGTATCTGTCTTAAAAGGGTGGTAACTAATGGCTTTCAATGAAGTCACCATGATTTAGAAAGCTTAAAACCACACATTTCTCATGTGGTAAAACTTCTAATTACTATCATTGCACATTCACCAGTTCTTTTAAAAGTTTGGTTTAAAAATAACATTAAATAGAGTTCAATTTAACAGGAGAGGAAAAGGCACTTAATACTGTAATTTCCAGAACATAATTTGTCTGTCTTCCCCTCCTGTGATGATGCTGCTACACTGTTCATTCATCCATATACATGTCACAGCACCTAAGAGAAAGAGACTCTGGTTAGGGCGTAAGTAGATCAGGAGGCTCCCAAAGATACACTAATAAGGACTACGTTGTCTCATCTTATAATAAAGTCTTCGTAGAAATTAAAAACTGCCTGGTACAAGGAACTTGTGAGGAATAAGAAACCACTTAAATGTAAAGCTAAAACAACTGGGAATTATGGGTACAGAACTGAACGCAAATACATGTTCCTCTAACAAAAGTCAGGAAGCAGAGGAGGGAGAAGGTGGGGAAGTGGTGTTAAGTGTGCTGATTGACTTCCATTTCTATTGCAAGGAATCAAATGTTATTTTAAGCTAGTAAGTTGGGAAAAAGGCATAGACATCACTTTAATGTGTAATACTAAGAAGAAATAATCGTATAAAAGTGAGTGACAGGGAAGAGAATGAAGGTTAGATGTTACTGCTCATTGTGGGAAGTCAACAGATAGTATAACCATAGATCCTAGAAGAATTAAAAGCCATAAATCCTCCCAGTGAACAGGAGGAAACATGCAAATGTAAGCAGAGGGAATCTCCAAGAGACACTATTAAGTGAAAAGAACCATGGACAGAACAATTACACACGTGCAAAAACACCCGCTCAATAATAAGGGGACACACATCCAGGACTCAAACTGGGAAACGTCCTCCAAGGAGAACTGGGAGGAAGGTTTAGTCACTGGTGGAAAGAATACTTGGTCTCACTGTGATTCATTACTTTCGTATTATTTTAAACACTTTAAAAATAAACTTAGAGCCGGCTGCGTGGCTCAGTTGGTTAAGAGCTCACTCAAGAGTTTGAGCTCTGAGCAACAGCGATTCGAGTCCTGGCCCGAGCTGAGCAGCCGCTGAGCTGCCAACAGGTGGCAGGATGGCTCAGCCAAAAAAAAAAAAAAAGTAAAAATAAACTCAAGAGCTTTTACTATGGTTTTTAATTTTGCATATGAAAGTTAATGTAAAAACTTCCCTTTTAGAGTCAAATGTCTGAACATAAATCTAAATCCTGAAGGACCCAAGAGATGCAGATCACATAGCCAACCAGGACGCTGGAGGGGATATTTACAGCACGGAGGGCACATGGGATGCTTTCCGCCTGAGAGCAGTATGTTCCCCAATAGGAAAGCACGTTTTGAATATTAATTTTGTATACTGCTACTTTACTGAATTCATTTATCAGTTCTAATAGTTTTTTGGTGGAATCTTTAGGGTTCTCTATATGTGTAGTACATTATCTACAAATGAGTTTTTCTGCTTCCTTCCCAATTTGGATGCCTTTTATTCCTTTTTCTTGTCTGACTGCTGTGGCTAGGACTTTCAGGAAGGCAAGTTTGAGTTCAACATTTTAGGAAAAAAGGTTAAGTCAACTGTGTAACTCTTTACCTGCATGGCCCTGTATTCTCTCCGTGATTTTTCCTCCGAGGAGGTCCCAAACAAGCAGTTCACCAGACTGACTTCCAGATAAAACAGTGTTTCCATCCCAGATAAAGCACCTGCAAGAACGATGTAGAAATAATCATTTCATTGTTCATAGTGAAGGAAGTGCTATATTAAACTGGCCAAAGCAAGTCCAAACGACATGATCATGAACTTGTGTGTACGTAAATGTCTTCACAAGTTTCCCAAGAAAACATACCTCTGGGGCTCATCTGAAGTCATAGAGGAGATAAGCATTCCTGTCTGCACATCGATGACATTCAGACAGCCATCTTCTCCTGTGCTGAGGACATGGCGACTGTCTGTAACGTGAGGTAAACAGCTACAAGTTACATCTTCAGAATGGGTTTTATGTAGAAAATTCTGGATTTTATTTCTGAATCCGGTGCCCTAATGTTCACTTTCATTTCCCTTGAGCTACTTGTTTTATTTAACCAATGACTATCCTGTCCTTGAAATGCATCTGTTTCTAAGACAGAGTTGATGACACTTTGGTGTGAGTTCATTTATATCTTGTAAACTAATTTCTCTAGTGAGTTGAGGAATAAAGAATAATATCCAATACAGCTTTTCTACTAGGCACAAATGCCACAAGTATACTGTATTCTGCCACGAAGCAGTCTTAGCTGTAGGCAAAATGTCTTTTATCAGCAAAGTGTTTTTCTTTTTAGTCTTATTTATTTCAAAATAGTAATTCCAATCCCCCCGGTTTCATCTGTATTAAGACGCATAATGATACCTGGGCTAAAAGCAGTATCACATACAGTTCGCGAATGGCATGGAACCTGGTGCAATATGGTGGCTGTAGTGAGGTCCCAAATAGTCACGGTGCCTTCTTTGGTGCCTGAAACCAAGAGTGTGCTTGCAGCATTCAGACTGATTGTATCCACCTAAGGGAGAAAATACGTATTTCATTTAGAATTATCGTCCTAAGCTATGTTTCCCTAGGCTGATTCAAATATGCAGATATAGTGATATAAATTAAACTCTATGGTACAGGGTACTGGTGTAACTAAGGCAGATGTATTTCAGCATCACCTATTGAATGATAATTTATTTAAAAAGGAAACTCTTCATATGCTAGTGAATAAAATGAAGTATTACTGGGGGAAATGGAATGCCGTTTTAAATTAGTCTAAAACTGAATCTAACTCCATGAAAGTAAGTGGGAGCGAGGTGCCAAACTTCCTGAAGCACAGCCGATGCGTGATTATTTGAGGGATTTGGGAGAACGGGGGGATCTCTCAGGGTTATCCTTGCATAATCATCTTGAATTACATATTAAATAAGTATGTCTCAACCTCAATTGATCTGTCAACCATGTAAATTAGGCAATAATTCCCCACATCAGAGAAAAAGCAGTCATGTAAGCTACAGTCTAAGAAGCAGCAGTGTGACCCAGTGGCAACAGAACAAGTGAAAAGAACAAAGTGCCAGCTGTGGTTCTGCCCCAGGCTGAGTGCACTGGGCCATCCAGATACTAGGTCAGCGTCCTCAGCTGTTGGATGTGCATCACCCTAGACAGACGGTCCCTGCCACTTTCTATTTCAGAAAACATGAAAGATGGTCACAGCTTGTTGCCACAAATAGTTTGAGGGTAACCCAAATATTCAATGTCATACTGAGAGATTGGTATTTTGGAAATCTAGGTGGATGGTAGCTAATCCTCAGGGAAATAGTAAACTGGAGAAAAAAGGACAAAGTAGACTTAGAAACCCAAAGAGTCAACTCAAAGAAAAGAGCTGAGAGTGAGACTATGATCTCCAATAAGCAAAATAAAGCAAAAG